ATGTAATTTTCATTACTAAACCGCAATTTCTCAGCTGCAGTTAAGGCAAGAGCAACGAATTTTACACGCGCTGAGAGCAGTTTAGAATTACATAACGGTTTAATGATTTAAGGCGATTTGCGAAATGCATGGTTCCTGTGAAACAACCATACAAGCAATTATTCCTCTAAAGTGTGGGGACGGTTTTACACAATGAAAGGCACGAATGTGTATATGTGTATGTGTGTATTTTACTTGTTGCGGTTACTGAGTAAAAAAGTGACAATTTCTCTCTTTGTTTGTATGGGCATTTTGATTGTAGTATAAAAGAGTGTGGTTTCTAAAAAAATATATATGTTTAGATAAAAAATTTATTACTTTTTAAATTTATTAATTTTATTTTAATTATTAAGTTATTATTTTTTTATTTGTGATATTAAGGCGTACGTGTGTTTGCCAAAAATTGAAGTTATATTACAATTTCAAAAATAAAAACAAAAAATAAAATTAAAAATTTTCATTTTACGGTCAAAGCATTGTTAAAAAAAATATATATAGAAATTAAAAAAAAAATATTTTCGTGACAGAAAAAAATATTTTATATAAATTCATTTAGGGTATTCACAAAATATTCTTTAATGATACTACTATTCTAAAGACAATATGAGGAGCTGAAAATAAAAAAGACTACTTGAAAACTAAACAAGAAATTGATTCTCGGAATGAATTGATTTATATAAGTAAAAAAAAAAGTCAGCTCTTGCAAATGTAAAGTGGTAAATAAGGAGTAATAGAAAAATTAAAAAATAAAAAAAACTTTATATGCACCTATGTATATCCATTTTAAATTTTTTTAAATAAATTTCCAACGCGCCGCAAAAAAATATTTTTCCGGAAACTAAAAAAAAAAAATATTTTTTAATTCTGAAAAAAATATTCAATATATAACGCGGCGTTAAAGAAAAGGAGTAAGAAATAAAAATTGTTGTTTTATTTTTAATAAAAAAATATTTTTCCTGAAAACCAAAAAAATATATGAAATAATATTTTCTACACGGCAAATAAAAAAAAATTATACATACATACATACTCAATTCTAAGTAGATATGTATGCACACATATCAATTTTTCCGTTTTGTGAATACCCTTAATAAATTTACTGTATTAAATTTCGTTTTTAATTTTTTTGTTTTTTGTTGTTTTTAATATGGCACTGTTTTTAGGCGAGCTTTTCGAAAGCATTATTTAAGAGCAATTAGACAAGACAACGACTAATGCACATGTGGTGAAGTTGCACTAGACTGGCGAAACACGCATGCGCGTGCGCACATTTTACACACATACATATGTATGTATATGGAAACGTGTCTGCCAGATTTGAATTTTTGTTGTTTTTATTTTGGTTTGGTTAAGTTGTATTTTAATTAATTTAAGACTATATTTGAAGATTTTGGTTTAATTTCAAATTTACTACTAGTAAGTAAATGAAGTTTAGCGATGATTTTCCGACGATCGGGTTTTAACGCTTTAGCAAAAAGAGTAAAGGACAATTGAATAATTTGAATATGGTAAATGTCTATATAAAATTCATACAAATTGTTAAGTTCGTTAGCTTTACAAATCGTTTGATAATTGCAAATTTTATAAATTTATGCTTTGGTTGAGGCTGCTGGTGCGAGGGCTTACAGTTTTGGGGTTTACATAGTAACGTTGATTGTTTGGGGTAAAATAGAAAAAATTTAAACTTTATGTTTTAGGTAATTGTGAATGGGCTTAATTTTATAAAAAAAATTTTTTTTGTTTTTTTGTGAAACAACTTTTTTGAATTTAATAAAAAAAAATTGAATTTTATAAAATAATTTAAAAAATTTCAAATTTTTTTTATAAAATTAAAAATATTTTTATATAATACCAAACAAATTTTTGATTAAATAAAAATACAATACCAAAAAAATTATGTTTCAATTTATATTTTATAAAATAATATTTTGGAATTTTATAAAAAAATAAAAAACTTTTAACTTTTACTAATTTTTAACAAGGATTTTTTTTATATAATATGAAAATTTTTTAATTTTACCCTGAACAGGGTATATTAAGTTTGCCACGAAGTTTGTAACACCCAGAAGGAAACATCGCAGAGCCTATAAAATATATAAAAAATAATAATCAGCATGACGAGCTGAGTTGATTTAGCAATGTCCGTTTGTCCGTCTGTTCGTCTGGCTATATATATACGAACTAGTCCCTCAGTTTTTGAGCTATAGACTATAGATAAGAAGCTACTCATTTGTCGGAACGGTCGATATCGCCACTATAAAATATAGCTATCATACAAACTGAACGATCGGAATCAAGTTATTGTAACGGACCTTTTGTATTTCTGAAGGGAATTTTTTTTTTTTTAATTCAAGTTTTTTGTAATCAGAAAATTTTTTTTAGCATGAGTGGATATAATTTTGCCTAGAACATAAATTAAAATATTAACAAAAAAAAGTATACAATGTAAAAAACAAGTGTAATTCGAAATGTCAGCCATGCCTTTTGAGAGAAGGTTACTGGCATTCGTTAGCACTGATCCCTTTTCAGTACATAATTACACCAATATACACATTGGAAAATAAAACTTTCTTATAAAAATTACATACATTAATAATTAATGTTAAAGACAATATTTATGTATATGAATTAAAATAAAAATAATAATAATAATTGAGACAGCTTCCCAAGTATAGAATCTTCTAAATGTTCAAAGATCTCTGATGAAAAAGGTCTCCACAGGGGTTTCTAAGACAAAATTATTGTAGATAATACTACCAAAAGATATTCAGGAAAGAAAATATTGAGGTAAACAAAATTTTGAGAGGAGAAAATATTACAAAACGATTCTAGAAGACAAAAAATATATTGAATACAAAAATTCACATAAAAAATATTATCAACCTCGAAATTTTGAATATTTTCCAACATAATTTTCACCATCGCTGACATGCGACAAACAACAGAAGAACTTTTAAATTAAACAAAAAGTATTAATTTTAAATAAAAAATTACTTTCGCACATTTAATAATTCAATTTCGCACTTTAATGAAAACAAAATGTTATAAAAAAAATTAACATAAACATTTAAACAAAAAAGATCGATTTGTTAATTATAAATTATACATATGTAGGTACATATTGTTAAAACCAAATTACAGTAATTAATTACAAAAAAAAAAGAGTACAACACACATATTCATATGCAATTGAGCAACTACATACATACACAACAATGGACAACAGTTAGTACGAGTGTATTGCAAAAATAACATATTAATACACACATACATACATAGATAGCCAAGTATACAAATATATAGCTATAATAATTTAAAGTAAAACCTTATAGCGAGAGCATATTTAGTACAACTAATTTATTTATTTATTTTTCGCTTATTCAGTAGAATGAGAACACTACTTAAGTACTAGAGCGATGATTTTTGAATGACTAATGGCAAAGGGTAGTAAATACATATGTACGTAATAAAAATATGTGTGCAATAAGTGAAAATAGAAAACAACTGCAGCAGCTCTGGGGTTATTGGATATTCATTAAACAAAAAAAATAAATAACTAAACAAAGATAAAAAACAAACCAAAAACATACAAATAAAAAAAATGTTAATGGAATAATATAAAAGTAATGAACAAAAAAAAATAAATAAGAATGTTAAAAAAAATATTATAAAAACTAAAAAACTATCAAAAAAATAATAACAAAACGAAAATAATAAAAAACAAAAGAAAATAAAATTTAAAAAATCAATAATAAAAAAATTATAACGAAGTCAAAAAATATTAATATAATAAAATAAAATAAAAACAATTTAATATACATAATGTGTATAAACATTATAAAATATTAAAAAAAAAATAAATAAAAATAAAATAAAAAATTAAAATAGGTTTTGAATTAGTGAGAGTTTTCACTGTACTGTATGAATGTTTTAATATAACTTCGCGAAATTTTAAATACCTGTTTCTCTTCAGTTTCTTTACTGGCTATAAGTAGTCTGTAGTCTGCAGACTCGAACTTTCTTTAGCAATATATAAAACTTTGATATAATTTATAATATAAATAATAAAAAATAGCATATATTGCATTAAAAAATAGTTTTGAAATGAAGCTGTGCTTTTTTAGGTATTCAAAAATATTGAACAGATTTGAAATATCGGCTGAAGCTGTAGAATGTCGAAAATTTCACTCATATATTAACAAAATAATTAAAAATTAAATAAAAAAAAAAAAAAACAAATCTGAAACTACAGTTTTGAAACAACTCAACATCGGGGAGCTACCTAAAAACTAGATTTTTGAAAAATCCACTCAAAAATTAAATAAACAAAATCAAAAAATATGTATAACTACAATTTTCACACTACTCAACAGAGAAACTAACCTTAAAACTATATTATCGAAAATTTAAGGCAAGGCAAATTTTTTTGTAACTATAATATTCTAAATATACTTTACTTAAAAATTATAAACAATTTTCGCAAAAACAAGTGTTTTTAAATTTTCTATATCACTGCTGCACTTGCTCACCATATTCACCAACACATTTTAATTCAGTTTTAAGTATATGAAAAAAGAAATTATTATATAGAAAATAGTGTTCATTGTTGTTGTTATGTGTGTTTTTCATATAAATTATTTAAAGTTATTTGCGGTATATGCAATAAATAGTAGTTAAAGTTAAAAAATAATTATTTATATTTTATATTTTATATTAATCGATTAATTTATTTCATATTAATATGCAGTAAACCTCGTTAAGTGTTCTTTTACGCGTTTTCATTTAAATTAATTCATTTATTCATAAAATCAGTCCTTTGCTTATATATTTTTCTGTATTTCTTATTCTCTTTTGTTGCCAAGTTTCGCATCAATTAACTATGTCTCAGCAAACGACTTAACGCTTAAACTACTAACGCTCTCCTCTTCTGTCATACTCGTTTCAATAACTTCGTCAGTGAATTTCAAATGTTTTTTTCTCATTATATTTCATTTTCTAAATTCATATTTCATTTCAGTGTCGCTGCTGCTGTTCGTTCAAGTGTAGTAAATACACACACATCTAGTGACTTATACGCTAGGCTTTTAGTAATATTCAGTGAATATTCAAATTTCGTACGATTTGCTTAAAATTTAAAATTACAATTTGAAACGTTTATATATTATAATAATTTACTTATTATTTAAAAAAAAACCCACATATTTCAGTTGAGTTATAGCGTGTAAAAAATTATTTCATTTTGATTTTCTTTCTTGTTTTGTTTATAGTACAAATTAACGATGTCCAACTTATATTAAAAAGATAATTTCAGAAATCAAATAATTTTCTTCCACGTCCACAACAAATCACCACACCACTTTCCAACACTCCACTCGAAGCGCATCCGTGACCACTCATTTATGTGCTGCTTAGAATAAGTGTACATATTTTTGGTTGTTGCTTACTTTTAAGTGCATTAATTATCGATTGTTTTACTTGTTAAACTTTACTATAATTTCTATTATGACTACTTACTATAACTGCTAATTACTTTTCTTATATATTTTATATATATATATTTTTTTGTTGTGTTTTTCCACTTATTTTACTTTTACTTTGAGTTCCAGCATACTAGTTGTTACTAATTTAACTAAGCCTATTTCTTTTTGGCCGCTTTTTTCTCTGCTTTGCGTATAGCTTTCTCACGCTCACGTCGCTCGCGCTCCTGATCCTTGCGTTCCTTTTCGATGCTCGCCTTCAGATCCTTGAGGCGACGTTTCAGACGATGTTTGTCGTCACCGCTAACGCCGAGCGTTTTGAAATCCTTCGAATCAAGTGACAGAAGTGCGCCGCCTTCAACGTTGTGTTCCTTGAAAACGGGTATGTAACGCTCCAATTCGATGCCCATCAGCCAGTGGCCAACCTGTTGTAGATGAGATTTTTTAATAAATATTTAAAACAGGAAAAAACGTTCACTGCACCGAAGTTAGAATACCCTTTACAGATGCATTTTTATAGCATTAAAGGGTATAAAAAGAGCTTTATCTTGATCGGTTAGTTTGTATGGCAGCCATATTATGCTGTAGTGGTGCGATCTAAACAATATCTTTGGTGATTTTAGCACTGCTTTGGATAATAATCCATGCCAAATTTCGAGAATATATCTCGTCAAATAAAACAGTTGTCTATACAAAAGCTTGATTTTGACCGTTTAGTTTGTATGTCAGCTATATACCGTAGTGGTCTGATATCGGTGGCTCCGATAAATGAGCAGCTTCTTGAAAAGAAAAGAAAAGGACCTGTGCAAAATTTCAGATCGAAATTTCAAAACTGAGGGACTAGTTCGCGTATATACAGACAAACGGACAAACAAACAGACATATATGGCTAAAGCATCACTCAGCTCGTCATGCTAAACATTTATATATGCACATATGTATGTGTATATATTATATAGGGTCTTCGACGTTTTCTTCTGGGTGTTACAAACTTCGTCACAAACTTAATATACACTGTTCCGAGTATAAATAATTGCATTTAACACTCACCTGCTCCTTGGTCCATTCATGCACGGGTCCGCCTTTGTAATTGTAGCAAGCGGCTGCCTTGCGATCCGAAAAACTACTGCTCGAACCGGACAAATCAATGGCACGACTTGGCGAGTAGCCGGGTGAGGAGCAGCCCGATGACATGCTAGTGGGTGAGGGTGGTCCGGTCGCTTGTTGTTGTTGCTGCTGTTGCCATGGTACTGTGCCAGGCGGAGAGAGGGATTGAGGTATAACTTGTTTAACTGTGCACACACATTTATTTAGATTTTTTTAAATAATTTTTTTTTGTTTTTGTTTTTAAAAGTAACCACCACAAATGTTAAAGGTTGTGTAATATAAATATGTTTTATATTTAATGTTAGGCGCAAGAGGGTTAAAATTTTATTATATTATTATTAATTGTTGTTTGTTTACCACAACGTAGAATGCGGCAGCATAGCATGAATTAATTGAAATTATTTATAATTTTGTCATTGTCATTATTTATTACCATATTCAGGAAAATCAAATACAAGAGCAAACGTGAAGAAAAAGAAAGTACAAAAAGTTACTCGGGTTAGTATTATATGGGCGCGCAAATGGTACATACATAGATATACATATATGTGTTTATACAGTTGCATAAAGTCAACATATGAAAAAAAAAACAGTTACGGGATAGTACGAGTATAATTATACAACGAAATGTATTGAAATATTGAAATACTTAGTTTGGGTGCAAGAAATGTGGATGCAAACGACAGATAGCATATAGTAAATAATTATATATTATATATATGTTTGGATATATATAAGATTATTTAGGCATATAATTTACTAAATAAAGTTTGTATGTGAAAGAGCAATCAATATACGGTTATAAGATAGAGCTTAGGGATATGCATTGGTTTAGTGTTTGGCTTGGTTGGTTGAAGTGAGCGCAAGTAATTTTATTAATTTTTTTTTTTTGAGGAAAATATCAAGATAATTATTGTGCAATTGTATGTAATAAATGTAATTTAGAATTGTATTGTTGTTGCTTACCTTTGGGCTGCGCCTCATTCACCGCTTGTCGTATTTCATTGATTAGTGTCTTACAGTTTATGGCCGCTGTGCTTTGGCTTTTATTGATTTCGGTGTAATCATCGCTGGAATGACGCGAGGAGCCATCACCAAGTCGCCTGTAAATCGTAAAAATTGTATTATAGAGTATTTTAAATTTATGCATATTATTATAGAATGAAATATGGTTGTCATATTGTTTTTATATGAATATTTGATTTTTGAGGTTAGGAACAATATTGTAGCTGCTATATGATTAGTAAAATTGACTAAAAAAAGAAAATATGTAAACTTCGGCGGAAATGAAGCCATAATACCTTTCACAGATGCATTTTGCATAGCAAAAATGGTATAAAAAGAGCTTTATTTCGACCTCGATCGGTAATTTTGTATGGTAGCAATATGCTATAATGGTTTGTTCGAAGATTGCAGCGCTGCCTTGGACAATAATCTATGCCAAATTTCGAGAAGAAATCTTGTCATACAAGTTCATACAGTTACATACAAGAACTTGATTTTTATCGGTAAGTTTGTATGGCAGCTATATGCTATAATGGTCCGCTGCCTTGGAGAATAATCCATGTCAAATTTCATAAAGATATATTGTCAAATAAAAAGTTTTCCATACAAGGACATGAGTTTGATCGATTAGTTGGTACACCATATAATAACGTATCCGACAAATGGCCAGCATCTTGGGGAGAAAAGAATCTGAAAAAAATTTCAGATCGATATCTCAAAAACTGAGAGACTTGCTATACGCACGGACAGACGGACATGGTTAAATCAACACAGCTCATCACGCCAAATATTTATATAGTATATACTTTGTAGGGTCGCGAACATTTTCTTCTGGATATTACAAACTTCGTGGCCAATTTGATATACCTTATTCAAGGTATAAAAATATGTTTTTGTAGATTATGCAAGATGGAAGAGGAGATAATTTAGAATCAATTTCAGAGTTTGACCATTTGCAGGCGGAATTTTATAAGCTACATAATAGAGTAAACTGTATACCCTCTTTTATATTTTTTAATTGTACAAAGAGTATACAAGGGTATATGTAAGGACATAAGCCGGGTTCATACAAAAAAAAAAAGTTACAACTGATACTGAAATGAATTATTTATCTAAATCTATTTATACACTTACCTCTCACGCTCGGAGAGCGCCTGATTTAGTTGCTCCGTAAATGATGACGGTGGCATTTTGCCACTTATAATGGCACCAGTCGGTCCGACACGTCGACGACTCGGATACATCCAATTCTCCGATGATTGCTCATTCTCGGAGAGTTTATCGTTTGAGCCTAAAATGGAATCGTATGAACTATTGAGATCACGACTGCTAGTACCGAATGTTGTCATATTGCTGCGATGGAAATCGCCAACACCGCCAACGATGCCGCCGACGCCGACGCCAACGCTTACGTCGGGCGGCGAACCAATAGTATTCTTAAATATATTCGGTATTGTCGAATGACCAAGACCAGCAGCTGCTGCCGCTGCCGCTACAGCGCTCTTATTATGATCCTTATGCACTTGGGCATACAGCTGATTGATTTGCTGTTCGCGCGCAGTCGCAACACCACTACCCGCTGTGGCGGTCGAATTCAACAGTATGGCAGTTGTGGTGCCCGCGCTGACATTGCTGTGATGACCGTTGGTAGCATGTTGCTGCAGCTGCTGCTGATGCTGTTGCTGTTGCTGTAAGTAACTGCGGTGGATAACGCTACCACCATTGCTGCCGTTCGACAGCCCGTTGCTATCAGAGGCAGCGCTGGCGTGCACATGCGCCACCGTGGTGGCGGTGCCATCGTCCTCACTGTCTTCGAGCGCACAGTCAGAGCTGCTATTGCTGAGCGTGCGCTTGCCGAAAGTGATGCTCTTGATGCCGTTGTTATTGCTGCTGTTGCTATTGCTACTGCTGCTGTGGCTGTGGCTGGTGGCGTTAGTAGTGGTGTTAGCGGCTGTGGGAGCGCTATAAATTTGGCTATTGTTGCTGCTATTGCTGCTGCTGTTGTTGGTGGTGGTGACGGCAGAGGCATTTGTGGTTGCGCTAACGGTGGCGTTGTTAGTAGTTGCAGTGTTTGTTGTATTGCAGTTGTTGTTGCCGTTGTTTGCTGTTGAAGGCAGCTGGCGATTAGCTAAACCACCACGTGATGCTTTTTTTTTTTGATTTTTTTGTTTTTGTATTTTTTATATGTATATTTATTTATGTGTTTATATTTTGTTTGAAAGGCAACAAGCGGCGGCGGCGAAAGCGATTTTACAAATTTTTTATATATTTTTTTTTTTTGGTAATTGTTGAGCGGCAGTCAAGCAGCAGCAAAATGTAGGCGGCAAGTAGTGTAATTTTTTTTTGTTTGTTTTTTGGACAAAAGCACATCAACAACACAAACAACAATATATATGCAAATGGCAGCAAACAGGACACAGGCACAATTTATTGAAAGAGATAGAAAGAAATGTATAAAAATAACGAATGTAGAATTATGTCGAACGAAAAGCTAAGAATTACAATGGAATTGATTGTGAATAGTGCTAATTGTAAGTATGTAATCGTATGTGCTTTTATGTTTGCATGCTGATGAGATGCCACACTAAACGCAAAAAGTGCTTAAATCAAAATTGTTTTTTTTAAATTTATTGTGTTTTTCTCTTACAATATTGACTTATGACTATTTTGCATTTAATGTAGTTACATTGTTAGCATCATTACTGTATTATTGCTTGGAAAAAAATACTAGTTTTTAATTTAAAAAAATCTCTCATATTTGAAAATTAATTTATATAAAAAATTTTCTTTTAAAAAGTTATTTTTGAGTTATGCAAAATCCTTATATATATTTGAAACTTTGTATTTACTCAATTGTTTTCTTAAACTTTAGTATTGAGTTATGATTTTTTTGCAATTTTAAAATGCTTTTGTTTTAAATTTTAAATTTATTGAAATAACTTTTTTTAGAAAACTTTTTTTTGGAGTTTTTTAGTTTTTCAAAAAAAAAAGTTATTTCTGAGTTATACATATTTTCCCATTTAAAAAAAAATACTTTCATTTGAAAATTTGAATTTTTTAAAAATAAAAATATCTAAATATTTGTTATTTTTCTAAAAACTTTCTCTGGAGTTAGCAGTTTTATTTGAAAATATGAATTTATGGAAAATTTTCCTTTCTAAAGCATTATTTACGAGTTTTATTTTTTGTTTATTTGAACAAAAAAACTTTTATTTGATAATTTTAATTTATTTAAATTTCTAATAAAAGTTTGACTTTTCAATAAAAAAGACGCTTTTATTTCAATATTTGAATTTAATTAAATTAAAATTAAAGTTATTTTTGAGTTATGCATTTTTTACAATTTGAAAAAAACTGTATCGTATTTGAAATTTTAACCATTTCCAATTTATTTTTCACAAATGTTATTGCTTAGTTATGCATTTTTTCCATTTGAGGAAAAATCTTTTTATTTCAAATTTTTATTTTTTTTATTTATTTTTTATTTAATCTTGAGTTGTGTATTTTTTGTAATTAGTACGATTTGTGATTTATGGCAAATGATTTATGATAAATATACAATGAAATGTCTGCGATATGAGTATTTTAAATGATGAATTCTATGGTAATAAGAAGAAGCAATAAGCAATTATAAAGAGGGTGGATTATCAAAGCTTATAATTATAAATATTACTAAAATGTGCGCAATAATTTTAAATTTTTTTATGAATCCTCTTTCTTGTGATATTTTGGACAACGCGTCAAAGAAATTTTTCGAAATTGCAAAAAAAAATTCTTTCAACAGCCCTATTCTGCATAAAAAATCGGTTTAAAAAGTATAACGTGACCTTTAGGCATTTAAGGAGCGAAATTCGTACTTCGGGTAAAATTCAAAACATGTCATTAAATTTTTGTAATTTTCTTCAAAGTTTAATTTAATTGTAAACAATTTAAAACAAGTACTTAAACTTCATTATAATGCTATAACAATTTAGACTATAAAATTCTTTTAATAGTTATGAAAATAAAAAAAATTTTATAATTATAACCTCAAAGTGTTATGTCATTATTATCAGTATTTAACAAGAATTCAGTTAAATATGAGCGGTTTTAAATTTTATTACATTTAAGTTGATTTTCTTATAGCAAAACGACAGTATACATAATGAGTATAATCTAAAAATTCCTCCTCGATCTTTTTTGAAAAGTGTGCAATTATATATACTTCGTTATATATATTTTATTACTATAATTAATTTGTTAAATGTTATCTATAATTTCAATTTTCAATATTCAGTGCAAGTATTAACAAAAAGTTAAAACAATAACCGCCACCAACAACTGTTTGAACTACAGGTAAATCGAAATACAAAAAACGAGCCAAAGCATTGTCAACTCACACAACAATTTTTAACAAGTAAGAGATTTTAACCATTTCGTATATAAAATGTATGTATATTTATACATACTAAACACTGTCAACATAAATGTATCGCTTTACACACTTGCACACCCACTTACCTAAATCGATTTTCGTCTTTGTAACGGTATTATCTAAAAGTTCATGCTGCGGCACGGCGGCATCTAATTCATCTTTAATTGGCACTTTACGTTCCACAGTCGCCGTTTTGACACCCTCGCCATCGGGTGATAGATCGGAAATCTCCGTATCGGACAATTCCGTCTCAAGTTTCTGGAACAAAGGTTTTGGTGGCGTTTTACGCATCATTTGTGGCGTCAATTTGAGCGTAGCGCTATCGTAAGGCAAACCAACGGGAAAGCCGGCCTTACGTTGTGTCTCTTGCAATTCGTGTTCCAAATTAATGACACGATCTTTCAGTTTCTTCACAAGTGCATTGTATTCGGTGTCCTTCTCCTGCAATAGTTGCTGGTAAAATTCCTCACGATGACACATATCCACTTCGCGTTGTTGGTATTCACGTACCAAACGTTTGGCTTTGTTGTATTTCTTATCCAGGGCCATATATTGCGCCTGCGATTGTTGTAACATATTTTGTAGATTAGAAGCCTCTTTTTTGATATTGGTGAGCTCGCGTTCGCTTTGACGCAGGCGCTCGCTGAGTAGCTCATTTTCATTGCCGGTTGTTTCCAGTTTGACGAGCTGATGTGAGGGGAGAATTAAACGATTAATGATTGAATAAATGTAGCAAATATGTAAAATGAAAGCGCATGCGTACACAAAAAAACATTATAGCAAAGAAAAGCGTCGTGAGTATGGTTAGTAATGGTAAGCAAAAAATTTTGTATAATAAAATAAAATTGTAAAAGATAAAGGCGACACCTACCTTACGCTTAAGCGTATCAATAATGTCGTCTTTCAACAGGCAACTCAATTCGCTCTAAAAAAAATTAACGAAAAAAAAACACATTCAAAAATAAAATGTATAAAAATTAAAAGAAAACAAGAAAAAACGTTAACTTCGGTTGCACCGAAGCTATAATACCTTTCAGAAATACAAAGGTTGCACAAGAACTTGATTCCGATCGTTCAATTTGTATGGGAACTATATGATATAGTGATCTGATCTGAACAATTTCTTTGGAGAATACATTGTTGCTTCCAATAATAACTCATGCTAAATTTCGTGAAGATATTACGGCAAAAAAAAGTTTTTTATACAAGCACTTTACTCCGATCGTTCAGTCAATATGACAGCTATATGTTATAGTCATCCGATCTATACAATTACCTTAAATAATAACTCATGCTAAATTTCATGAAGATATTACGGCAAATAAAAAAGTTTCCTCTAAAAAAACTTGATTTTCATCGATCGAGCATCGTGTGCAAATCCTCAGATCGTTATCTCAAAAATTGTGGGTTTAGTTCTCGTATATACAGACAGACAGACGGACGTACTCAGCTCGTCATGCTGATCATTAATATATATATTTTATGGGTCTCCGACTTTTCCTTCTGGATGTTACAAACTATGTGACAAATTGTTTAGGGATAAGAAACGAAGAAGAGTTAAGAATTATTTTGGATAAAATTACTTAATAAATTATTAATTTAAACTTGCAAAAAAAGAAAGATAAAAAAAGCACTCAAATGTATGTAAAAGAGTAACACGGGCAAAAACGAAAGAGCACATGAATTCGCTAAAAGTTATTTATAGTTATTCGTTTGAACCAATTACCGCTTTATGCTGCATTTTCGTAACGTTTTTAGCGTTTATTTTAGTTTTTCGTACATATTCGTTTTGTTTTCGTATTATTTTTCGTGAATCCACGTCATAAGTAAATCACATAAAGAAACATATAAAAGGTTTAAACAGATTAAAACTCTTCGAACACCCCAAACTGTTTATTAAAGTTTAAAATTTTAAATCGCGGCGACATTTTACATACCTCCTGTAGCAGCCTCTTTAGAGACTCTACCTCCTGTGAGTGTGTAGCCTCGACCTCCATTGGATGCTCGACTTGTACGGGACTCGAGGGTCCCTCGCAAACACTAGAGTTGGCCGAAACAGGCTGTGTGGAGTCTTCCGAGTAGTCGAGTGTTCGACGCAAATACTCCTCTTGTTGTCTTAAAAAAAAAACATGCATATAAAAAATTATTAACTGTCGATTAGCATTATTTTTATAAAATCTATAAATGCACCTTTTCAGTCTCTCCTCTTTCTCGCGATCTGCTTGCAGACTCAGGCGTATAAGTTGCGCCACCTCCGAATTTTCCGGATCACGTTCACGTCCAATTTGAAATTTCACCAAACCGGATGTGTTGCGTAACACCGATGCGGCATAAGCTTGTGTAACGCCCACTAAACTTTTGCCATCCACTTCGATGATTTGATCATTGACCTGAGCAAATTTAAAAGTTTTAACTAAAGCAAGTACAAATGCGCTCCCAAACACCCACCCAAATTTACTATAGACATACATATAAATAGATGTATATGGCGTGTTGGGTCGATGTCGAGAGCTGACCATAATGTACACACCGTCGGTGTCAAAACTTGAAAATTTCAACTCACCTGTATGCGTCCGTCGCGTGCTGCTGCGCCGTTATCGGTTATCGTCTTTACAAATATACCCAATTTTTCAAGACCAGCATCGGCACCAACGCCCATACCAATAATGCTCAAACCTAAACCTTCGGGCCCTTTCATCAATTCCACCGGGAAGACGTGCATCTTCTCGACACGTTTCTCCAGCTCATATTCGGCTGAAGCGGCAACGGGATCAACATCTTCATTGCGGCGATCATAGTCAGTTACGGAGAATGTTGAAAATACTTGTATGGGTCCAGAGCTGAATCGAACTTTGGTATTCTTTTTCACTGGTATTGGCGGGTAGGAGAGTTCGTCGTCATCAAAGTCCAGCAGACCTACGAAAAGAAAGTCGAGGTTGGAAATCACTTTTTTAGAGGTCTGGGAAATAAATTTTTAAAATTGATAATACAAAGTTCAGTGCAATAATAATCCCTAACCCCTTTAAATAGTTTCATAGTAGTCGAATGAAGGTCGCCATCTATATTGTAAAAGTTACTGTTGTTGTAAATGTACTGCTTGGAAGTGGAGCTTCCTTCAGAGACGTGTGTATTCACTCCGATAGCAGAACGGCTATACAGGTTTTGACCTTGCTGACTTTGCGCTTAAAGTTAGTCAAAGAGTGATGATCCTCATTAGCAATAGCTTGAAGCTTCTTCCGTGTTAGATTCGTTTGGGTACTCGGTCACAGCCGAATCATCGGAAACTGCAAAGCCGATGAGCTTGCTAGAGAGGGCACTTTCCTCGATTTCATCCGATTAAAAGCGAGTCAGCACTCCGTTGTTCTCTTGCGTTGGCACTATGAACCTGCTGTGAGCTCGTCATGCGCTGGTCAACAGCTAGAACTTATGCGACTGCGAGATCTTTTTGATCCAGAGTGAACCGTATGTGTTCCTCTGAACTACTTGCTCTTAACAAAGCCAGTCTCGCCGCAATTGTAGGTGGGAATATTTATGTGAAATAAGAGAGTCGAAGAGTTTTAAAGAACTATCTTAGAACTCACCGACTAAAGGACAGGACTTGTATAGTCTTACAAACAACACTATAAATGTAAAATTAACTCAAAGTCTGTTTAACAATACTCACCAGGAACTTCCATCCAAAAGTTGCCATCTTCGAAATAATGTACACCCGACTCCACATACACTTCCTTACTCTTCACTGGCGGATATTCGGGTATGTAGAATTGTGAATCGTCAAGTTCTGCACCAAGACTGGTTGTTGTTGTATTTGTATTAATTGAATGTAATTCACCCTCGGCTAATGAATAGGTCGAATTATGTTTGCTTGAGATTATACTATCATCGATGGTTGTCGTCTGATTAAGAGTGCCATCCGATTGCGTTGACTCAACAGACACAATCGATTCTTGTAATGATTCGCCTGTTTGACCGTGTGGCGTTGGACTGTTTTGATCCTGTTGGATAAATGTTTGATTCAACAGTGATTGCTGTGACTGGAGCTCTTGTTTGCTGGGCGATGTATGCTTGTCTTGTTGTTGTATGAAAAGTGTCGAATCATTGTCGACATCGTAGCTGGTCTCGACTTTCGAAGCAGTCACCAACTCGGAATGTTTACTTTCAACGCGACTTTCAACACCAATACCACCACCAACGCCACTTTGGCTGTCCTCCGAACGTCGACGCCCGCTGGCAGCTGTGCAGCGGGAAATTAGCAAATTCTCAAGACTGCGATTAGGCGCTTCGAGTACGTCACGTAGCCATTCGGGCTCATCGTCGTCATGTGTATTATTCTTACTATTGTTGTTGTTGGCCTTGCTAGTTACAACATTGGAGCTTTCCGCTTTTGTGAAGGTCGCATTCAAAATGTGTGCAGGTGCGGCGCCAATGCCAACTATGTCGACATCCTCGTCGTCGTCGTCCTCCTCATCATCATTAAAATCATCGCCCTCGTCGGCGACGTGCTGCTCCTCAGCCGGTTTCCGCTCGACAGCAAATGCAAGACCACCTTCGCCGTTAGCTGCTGTTAACGTGACAGTTATTGGATTACTTCCGCCACTTGCCGGAGCACGTAGGTCACTAGCTGTGCCAGTGTCAACTTTGGCGACGTCAGCAACGGCAGCTGTTGCTGTAATAACCTTTCTGTCGTGTTGTTGCTCGGCTATTGGCGGTGTTTCTGGTTGTGTTTCTTCGATTAGACTTTTAATGCTCGTCGGTGAAGTGGCTGTGGCAACAACAGCTGCGACGGCCACACTTACAGTGGGCGCAGCAGAGAGTATCTGTTCGACTTCTTTGGCTTGTTCGTCCGAGAGCAACGACTGTTGTCTGTTGTCGTTGTTGGTTGGTGTATGTGCATTGGTATGCGTTTTAGTGCGTGCAAGCGAAAGGCATTCAGGCAAATGCAATCAAATTCCAAATGCGCCGATTAGTGGCATCGAGAAATATTGTCGAAGAGCAGGATGGAAGAAAAAAGAAAGAGGAAAATACAATTATATTTTTAATTCTTGGTAAACAAATGGTGATTGGGTAAGGGGTTACATACAAGTATTTTTATTATTTTAGTGTAATCATAAGATACCGTCGCTTTCATTTCAAATAAGTTTTGTTATGTATGTATGTGTATACACCAAGGAGTTAGTTCCCGTAAAGAATTTTAATTATAACTTATAACTGTTGTCGTTGAGCGAGAGTATACTTAAAATTAAAGGATGTGCAAATTTATGATTATAGTCGTAAAGCTTGCCAATAATTAAATATATGATAGTCATATTACATGATTTAATTGTAATAAATTCAAAAGTATTAAAAAATAATAGATGAGTGTTGATAAAAAAATATTTAAAACATTTAAAATTAAATAACATACAAAATACAATATATAAAAATATTTGAGATGAAATAAATTACATAAAAAAAACAAATAGTAAAAATTTAAAAAAAAATTAAAAAGTTAAAATAAGTAATTAAAAACAAGATAGCCTCACCAAATAGTTAAATTAATAAAGACAATTCTTCAAACGTTTAGTTTACTTTTATTATTAAAGAATAAATTTGAAAAATTCTTGAGGAAACTTCATAGAGCGAATTTGGACTGATATATTATTACAGGTAAATTTTTTTTCAGATCGTCATACGAGTCGTCCATCCGTACTTTTCTCTGTTAATTACAATAACATCAAAAAAGTTGAAGAAACAGTGCTTAAACATGATTGTATTGGCAACAGAGCGATATCAGAGGATCTCAACATCTCTTACCTAACGCCTCAACTTTTTTTGGTTAATGTTTCAGGTATGAGAAGTGCTAATGCTAGACTCGTACCAAAAGACCTAAATTTTTTGCAAAAACGACGTCGAGTAGAGGTCGCAAAAGAGATGCTTGATAACGTAGCTGACGATCCTACAGCCGCATCTACACCCTATGCAATCAAACGCATCATTACTTGTGATGAGGCATGAATTTATTAAGATGACCGAGAAAACCAAAACTCGCTGTAGGCACTGATTGTCATCCCTGCCGAGCCTTATAACAAGTGTTTGGAATTTGGATTAAACGTTAAGCTTACTTGTTTTGAAGGTAATAATAGATTTGTATTAAAATGCTTTAAAATGAGCATATACTATTTTTAATAATTTTTTTGAAAATTTCACTATTTTTTTTTAAAATATGTATCTTTGGAATAATAATAAAAATATCATATATACAATATAATTAATTTTTTGTTAATGAATATAGGTGGTTTTTGGTCGAAGGTTTAAAAAATACACCAAGTAATTTCGGCTAAATTTTGGATACCACTGCGAGCTTTTTTATAATTTTATTTATTTTAAGTAAATATTAGATGCTCCCCCCCATTACCACTTATGTTTAAATTTTCACTTAAAATGCTAAAGAACATACTAAAATCTTTGAATTCTTTATTTAAGTCGCAAATAATAAAATTAGCATATGTATACTATTGACTTTAAGTGCTTTATATACATATTTCAAAATTAATTAGTTTAAAAGCAGCATGCAATAATAATTAGAGACACAATCTCGATACTTTATAAACACACGCACCATAATCAAAATCTTATTCAACGGATTAGTAAACTAAAGTATCTACACAATCGAAATCAATTTACTAAAATTAGATTATGGATAATAACATGGAAAACAATTAGATGCAAATACACAAATAAAACATAAACCAAATTATAGCATTTATACATAAAATAAAAACAACAAAAACAAACCTGATTTTGCTTTCCAAAATTCTGCGCACAGCAGACAAAGGAAGATTACATTGTATTTATGGCCACAAGTTGCCGACACAGTCAAATTGTTGTGACGATAAGGCGCCAAAGGCAGCATCCACATATCAAATACATACATATATATATAGCAGCGGCAGGCAAAGCATAGCAAAAAGGATGCAGCGAAGTCGGCGAAGAACAATAGTCATGCACAAAACGACAATCATAAAAACGCGTGAAGATAATCGCAAATAAATGCATACGACGGCATTCGATGACATTTACATGTGTGTGTGAAACGTTCACAAGTGATGGCGGTAGAGTAATGCAATACATTTTACGGCACAAATGAAATTTTAAGCGTTGCAAGCAAGTTGTATATATGTAGTAATAATAGCAATAAAAATAACGAAATAAAAGAAAAATGCAGAAAAAATACAATAATTGTTGAGAGAACATGCAAAACAGGCACTACATTCACTAAAATGCTAAACTACATAAATAAATTTAAAAATATCTTATTATACTTATCAATGGTGCTACATGCTAGACATAACATGAAAAACAGCTACACCTAGTTATTGAATAATGAAATTTACTACTATTAAAAAAAATATATATTATATGTGTGTAGATATTCAAAACAATTTTTCTAATTTTTATGATATAATGAGTTCTTTGAGTACTGTTACAGCGTTACGGTATCTTCCAAATTCAATACTGCCCATTTGGCATCATTCCAAAGCTTCCAATGAAATCACGACTACGAAATCGTTGAAAATGTTGCAGAAGTGTTTTGTGGACTCTACGTTAGCACGAACACTAATATTTCAGTGGCCCAAAACACCCAATGAAGGTCGTGAAGTCATTGAAAAAATCGTTTATGACGGTAACATCGAAAAAGTTAAGAAAATAGTGCTTGAAAAGCGTCGTGTTGGCATCAGAGAGGTTCGAACTAGCCTATCAACCACTCTTATGAAGCGACCCAACTATTTTGGTTAATGCTTTTGGGTATGGAACGTACCAATGTTAAATTCTTACCAAAAGACCTGAATCTCTTGACGACGACGTAGAGTAGATGTCGCGAAAGTTGACAACGTAACTGAGGACCCTACATTCAACAAACGCATCATAACAGGTGAGGTGGGTGAAGGCTCCAAAACTAACCCGAAATCGAAAAACCCAAAGTCTCTTCAGCGAGGGCGATGAAGGCCATCCCAGTCGAGGCTTTTAATAAGTTTATGAAAAATTAGATCTGGGTTAAATTGGTATTGGTATACGAGAAGCCAAAACAAAATGAAATAAAGTCTCCAAATATACATCCAGCTAGATATTATGCTATATGAAGATGAAAAATATTCGTAGTTTTCTAGCTTGACTGAATTAAAGATAGTAATCTGAATAGGGTATACACATTAAATTTGCCGCGCATTTGGTAACACCCAGAAGAAGTCTGGGAGACCTTATACAGTATATATAATAAATGTAAATATATATAAATGATCAGCATGAACTGAGCCGATTAAGCCATGTCCGTTTGTAAATCTGCCTGATTCACTATTTGCGAATTAGTCCCTCAGTTTTTAAGATATTAATCTGAAATTTTGCACACGTCTTTTTCTCCCAAAAAATGTTCTCATTTGTCGGCAACGCCGATATCTGACCACTATAGGATATAGCTGCCATACAAACTGAACGATCAAAATTGAGTCATTGTATGAAAAACTAACTTTATTTGACCAGAAATCGTCACGAAATTTGGCATAGACTAATGTAGAAACCAACACTACAATCTCTGAATATTTTGTTTAGATCGGACCACTATAACATGTAGCTGCCATACAAACTGAATTACCAAAATCAAATTCATGTATGGAAAACTTTTTTATTTGAGTAGGTAACTTCACGCAATTTGCCATGGTTAATTGTCAGAGATAACGCTAAAATCTCCAAACAAATTGTTTAGATCGAAACACTATAACATTTAGCTGTCATACTAATTGATCCATCCAAATCAAGATAAAGATAATTTTTTACCAATTCTATAAAAAAATGTGAAGACTATTATACTTGTAGCTTCTGTGCAGCCGAAGTTAACGTTTGCAGTTAAAAATTCGATATTTCGATATATTAAAAATTTACTCAAAATTGCTTGATCTTTTAAAATATTAATAAATGAACTGTTTCAAAAATAATAAAACAATACTACATAATGACAATGAAAATATTTAAAATCAAATTAATTCAATAAACTTTCGCGAAACGGCAGAAAGCTGACGTCAATTTATCTGCGTTGCGATAATGTAAATAAGTAAATAAACATGAAATCAACTGTTGATGAAAACATCAAATTAAATAACATTTAATTATGTTGTTTATAAAAACATTACAATGGCAAAACAGTAGAGTAAACAAAGAAATTTATTTATTTCCACTACACAGTAGACAATTGAATATAAAAGCCAGCGCGCGAGGACACTGGTAATTGCATAAAAATGCGCAAAAAAACGCTGATAAATAGTGCTGATAAAAAATAAAGAGAACCACGGGCGTAACAACATGCCACATTGACGCACGCGGGCAATCACACACACACACACACACACACGTACGCTTGCACACTGACAGTCATTACAGAGTGAGTTAACAAGGATAATAAGTAGTGCAGTGAAAACACTTTATAACGGTATTAATATTTATTACACCGAAGGGCGAATTGGCGGTCAGACACGCGTTTCAACGTAAAGCTCACAGCTCATAGCTTTTAGCTTTAAAAGCGCGCCGAGCACGGCTAGTTAACTGCGGCCGGGTTGAAGTCGCGCCATGAAGACCAATGTAAATGCGGTAAATATAAATGAAGTCCTTATGGTGTGGCTAACTATGCAAAGGTGTGCAGGCAGGTAGGTGTGTGTGTGTGTGTGCGTGTTGGCAGGTGTAAAAATGAATTTTGTTGCTTATCCCATGTGGCAGTGGGCGGCGGGCGTGACGGCTCAACAATAAATGCGCATTAATTGCAACACTTCAGTCAAGTGAAAGAAGGCGCGATATCAGACAAAACTACCGTTATGCGATTAAGTGAAGAAGTGGGCGCGTCACCCTGCACTGGCACTTTGATTTCCTGTTTTTTTTTTCATTTTGCTTGTTGTAGTACTATTATGGACTGAGCAGGCTGAGCCGTGAGCATAATAAATAACCAACGGTTGAGGCTTGGTGGCTTGGCGGCCGGTCGACATGCCAACTGACGTAATTGGACAAGTTATGAGTGGCCAATGCATTTGGGCCACTGCACTGATTGGCATCAACATTGTCAGCCGTTTCGACAATATTTACACAGCACACATACAGCCGTGTGTTTTTTTGTATATGTGGCGTAAAGATACTTCAGCTGAAGTTCAGCAAAGGCTTATATTGATGATATAGTGCAAGTATAGTATGCGCTAAAAGTGTGGTACAAAGCCCAATGCATATGCATGTGTGTGTGCTGAGTTTTCAGCGTGGATTTAATTTCAATTTACAACAGGCTTTAACGTGTTTTTACATAAAAACAAGCACACAACAACAAAGTACAAGTACAAACTTTTGATTACATGTATATACATATACTCGTACATATATATTTGTAGTATCATTTATATCTTTGTAGCATTGTTTTTGTGATACATCAGGTAAGTGTACGCTTCGCATTGTGCGCTAGTGGCGCTAATAAAGCTTGCTGCCAGCTGAGAGTTAGCCATGGCCAAGCGCTAACCGCAAGCCAGTGTGCGCACAACTGTTAAACCACAGCTGACACTTTACTAGTGCACATTGTTGTGTTAGAACCGATTTGCTGGTGCAGTATGGTGAAAAAAACAATAACAATAACACTATTTATTTTGAAACATTATACGACTAATGGCGTGTCTATATCGCCGAAATGATGTAAACTGTAGCACAGTGGGCATAGCAAAATTAAGTTAAAGAAAAAAAATTTAGTGTATATATTTTTACTTAACTTAAAATATGAATTTATTTAAAAAAAATTATTTAAAAAAATTATAAATTTCTTTTAAGAAATTATAAAAAAAATTTTAAAATTATAAACAAACATTTTTGGAAATCATACAAAATATTTGTAATAATTTTCAGGGCAACCAAAGCATATTTTGTATTTGAAATTAGAATCTCATGAACGATATTTAAGCTGTTTAAATTTCATTTGTATATTTGTTTAGAAATTTTGCTCTAAAAACTATGCTACAATATTTTTCAATTAAATTTTTTTTTTTTTTGCTGTTACTAACTAATAGATTAATGTTTTCTCAAGATTTATATATATTTACAGGAAAATAAACCAAATAAATAAATATTATTGTCGACAATATTAAGGAACAAAATTCATTTGAAAAGCATATGCGCCTAAAAGTATGCAATATTTTCCTTTCTAAACAATTTATTAGTAATATTTTGTAATTCACAATATTATAACATATATGTATTTAATAGTAGGAAAATGTTTATATTATATTATTTATTATAAATTTTCGTCTTGGCTCAGCTTTTATCGCTGATACAAATACCATATATGCAAAAATAACCGCTTGCAAACTAGTTAGGCAGTAATATCTTAAAGTTATACGAATCTTTTTTAGAATGACTCATAAAAAGTTGACGCTTTGTTAAAAGTCTAAATATTGTGCTATTTTACTATTTGCGAAAATCGAATTTATAGAAATATGTTATGAATAAAAATATTGGCAATTCTTAAAAAAAAAAACTAATGGTCGAAATATAACTACTTTCAAACTAGTTGTTAATTGGCAATGAAAGTTCAAAATATATTTGTCAAATAATTTTATAAAAGTAAGAATTTAACATTTTATAAACTGATATATTTTTTGCACTTTTCTCGAATCATTGACCCCTTATAAAATATTTCAATATTTCAAATATAACTATAAGCGTGGTATGACTGTACTTGTAAAATAGTAAAAATAAAAAAACAACTAAAATACACACAAATAATTTTCAAATAGTTTTTATAT